ACAATTAATGTCCTGGAGTTAATCTTGTAGAAGACAGAAAGGGAGTTACAAAACAGTACTATCCGTTGTTGAAAAACAGTAATAGAAAGTAAAGGTTAAGGTGTTAACATAAATGTTAGTTTTGATTCTAAATCTCTTTATTTGTGAAATCTGGAAGAAACTCAGTGTCCTCCTGAATGCAAACAAAGCAAAAGCTCTTTTCTGGCATCTGTATCTATACCATATGAAGAGTTGCTGAGGCCATGTATTGAGAAGCTGCTATTATGTAAACAAAATAAGAGGATTTGGAAGCGTGCTATTTTGCTGTTTGTTTAAAAAGAGTCCCTATATTTGTTTTTCAAGCACTGATGCGCACAGAATGAAACAGAAGCCACAGCGTCTTTAATTCTACTGTTACTTATCCTCATCTCCCCATAGCAATTAACAATTTGGCAGTATTCAGTATAAAACAGGATGCAGCTGGGAGAGCAGCTATGTTCTGTGTAGAAGACTTTCACTTATGCTAACTGAAAATACTTTCAGCAAGCAATGTTGCCTTTTTACTTCCTTCTGGCAAAAGCTTAGATTCCAAGAGTATGACATTTGTAGCAGCTTTCCATGTTACCTATGTAGACTCAGATGATGAGATAGATAAAAAGTTGTTCTTCTTTTCTCATGAATATAACTCTGTTGTTTTAGGGGAAATATCAACTGCGCTCTTACCACAGGACTTATTAGAAATTAAACTCAAAAACTGTTGAGAGCAAATTCTTCCATTTCAGTAGCTACTGAAAAAGGATGTTTTATGTTTTACCCACAATGTATCTTTTCTATCTAAACTGCAGGACCTTTAACTGATTCTGAACTTTTGGGTACGACTGCATGTCCCAGCTACATCTTGACTCTATGTCAGGACTCAGTCTGAACCTTGCGGCCATGAAGAAGACGAACAAAGACATAAGGAAGATGCGGTACCACACATCAGCCAGATCTCTGAAATAGACTGCTCGTGAGACTAGGATCCTGGGTGTTCATGGCACATATTTATCACAGCGTTCACGTAGCTCAACAGGGCACTCAGTCAAGCTTTTTTGGATTTAAGGATAGTTAAATTTTCCCAATGTAGGTACTCTAGAGTAAATTCAAGCCAACTGACAATGGATGCTTTTCTTAGATGCCTTTGGAAGGTCTTTGACCATAGTCAGAGTTGTCTGCCATACACTCATCTGCTGCTCTGGCATTTGAAACATATTTAGTGAGGATCTTCCAGTAAATGAAGAAATGCCATGTATGTCATCATTGAACATATTCCTTTAGACTGACATAGCCAGTGGGACTTGGTCATCTGCACTGCCAAATGTCTCATATCACAGTGCTGTCACAATGAAAACAGACATACCCCAGGTATTGGGTCTAGACAAGAAACTCACTAAAGCAGTCCAGAAACACCATCCTGTGTCTTGAAGGTTTTAACTGTTATTAATTTTTATTATTTTTTTTTTATTTAGTCAATAAGCTTCTATATAACCTATACAACAAGAAAAGGAGAAGCATAAGGAAATGTCTGCAGTGATGTGTGATATCATCTAAGACAGAGTGAATAATCTTCTATTTCAGTTTCCAATGGATGTGAAATACTTCTATTTCCAAGACTGACATTCTTTCCTCTTGCATCGTTCTGGAGATTTTGAGAGATGTTAAATGCTACAGCTGATTGCAGAGAAGGCTGTTGTCTGGGACCTCCCTTTTTTATTTTCTGGAAGGTGGTGTACAAAACTTCAGTCTACCAACCTCTACTGTCCCAAGAAATACTTACCAATCTAGTATCACTCATCTTCCATATCCCAACTAGTAATTTAAGTACAACGCTAATCAAAAAGAAATCTAAGGAAATAATAAGAATGGAAACAAGGTATGTTTCATACAGAAAGAGATAACAGATGAATCCAAATCCTGGCTCAGGACAGTCCTACCCTGACTCTTCAACCAGTATCAAATACAAGCCAGAACTGCTTTGAGTCAGGTAGAATATGTAAAGTATTATACTGTTAAAAAAAATAAATGAAAGCCTCTTATATACTACATTAAATGATATATAAATAGTAAACAGTTAAAATTTTATGTCCTCACTTCTAAGACATATATTCCACAGATTGCCACAGATTTATGTAGAAAAAAACAGACAACATGGGTCCTGACATATACTACGAGAATTAACTAACAGTATAAAATGACTTTCACTTTTCCATCTTTTTTGTTTCTTGTCTTGAACTAGTATTTTTTGGTTATTAAAAGCTTGGAGGATTTTGGTTTTGGCATTCATTTCTCCTTCTGAATTAACAAAGCCTCTTAATAAATCTGCCCTTCTAGACCCTGCACGATACAAACTAAGAAGCACGAGTACTGTGCATACTAAAGCAAATAAATTTTTAATGCTTGCCACAAACATGAAAACATATAAAGAAGTGAAGACATTTTATCCTATGAAGACAGGCTGAGAGAGCTGGGATTATTCAGCCTGGAGAAGAGAAGGCTCCTGGGAGACCTTACTGCAACCTTCCAATAACCAAAGGTGGCCTATAAGAAAGCTGGGGAGGGACATTTTACAAGGGCTTGTAGTGAGGGGTAATGGCTTCAACCTGTAAATGAGTCAGAGATTAGGAGGAAGTTCTTCACTCTGAGGGTGGTGAGACACTGAAACAGGTTGCCCTGGGAAGCTGTGGATGCTCCAGCACTGGATGTGTTCACGAAAGACTGGATGAGGCTTTGAGCAACCTGGTTTTGAATTACATCACATACTATGCAAGGAATAAAGCAACATCAGCCATCTCCTGAATGAGGACCATTTCAATATATACTCAAAAAATAGAAAACATAACAGGATTCAAGTTAGTATGTCATGTCCAGTAAATGGATTGTAAACACTTATTTGAGAACATGAGTACACAACTACAGAGAGATACATTTTACATTTTGTTAAATATTCAAATTAGCAAAAGCAACACTAAAGAAAATAAAAATCAAGACAATGCTTATGGGATCATGCCAAGGTATCCCTGAATATGTTAGGCAATTGCAATGGTTATTAATGATGTTCATTAACATTAAAAAGAAGCTCATGCACCTGACAAAAGTATTTTGAATACATTAATCTGCAAAATAAAACATTGTTGTGAAGCAGAAAGTTCACTTGTGACTACTGTTCATCCAAATTTTTGTTCTTGCTATTTTCTAACCATTATTAAGATTACAAAATTAAATGTTTCCTACAGATTGTTTTCAATGTTTATATGCAGGAGTACTACAAATAGAACGTGCTTGAAAGAAAACAACTGCCTCAGGAGAAACAGATTCCAGCAAAGAAAATGCTAATTTTATTTTGGTAAGAACTGAGGGCAATGACACCATATGAAAAAACTGATACTGGAATGGTAGTCCTACTGCTCACAGAGAGATGCTTCTCAGGTCTCTGCTTTAATTTCACTTCATGCCCATTGTTAAACAAATACCCCTTTATCCATGCTGGAGAGGCAGAAATTGTTGCTAGTGAAAACTGCAATGGCATTAATGCTGTACTGTATGTCTGATCAAAGGGGCCACAATAACCATATAGCTTGGGTCTTCCAGGGTGTTTAATTTGGGCTGGCCATGTGAGAAGATGACAGATTTATCTATGTATTTACCGTTGCTACCTGAAATTGTGAATTAATGCTCTAAAAAACCTCAAGGCTGTATCGTTTTGTGGAGGGGTTATGTCATAGGGAATATTTAATTACAGATAATCAATTAATATTTGATTAGACAATCAGTGATATTGCTGAAGACCAAAAATGTGACCTAAAGGAGCGTTTCAGAACAGTTTTCTAATTGACTTCTATGCCTACACACAGCTCAATGTTTGCAGCAGTCATCTCTATTCATTGTTAAAAGAACAACAAATTCATCTTTTAAACTAAGAAAAAATTTTGGCAGTAGTTATAGTTTATTGTGGAAATGGTAAAATTCTTTTGCACAATACATTTAGAATAGTGTGTCGAGCCATAATGGATTACTGACATTAACATAGTGTAGAAATGTAATGCTGGTTTTCTTATCTTTATAAGATTGCTACAGGGAAAAAAAATCTTCAAAAACCAATCTTGGTGTACTTACAATGAGGACACAGGATATTTGTGCATAAAGATTTTAGCTTATTCATCAAAAGTGTGACTATACAGAAGGAAACACATGTAACAGAGAACAGTTTAAAGAAATAATAAAATGCAGCCCTCCACTCATGCTGTTCTTGGCAAATTCAGGTCCACGGAGGCCTAAAACCTCATGCTAAGATGGCACTCTATTGAGGAGCACCAAAGATGGTATCCTGTTTTGTTTAACAACCACCTTCCAAAGTCACCTGGAAGTCAATGAAAGGCAAATACGCTTAGCCACAAATATTTTTCTTCAGGGGTACTAATGGCTAAGAAGCAGTGCAAAGCCACTGTATTTTCCACTAGCCTCATCTCAGGCATGGTCCAAAAGGAAGCTCTCTTATTCCTGTCAAACACTTTTCAAAGAAATCACTTTTATATGACAGCCTTTACTAATAGTTCCATAGTTTAAGCATAACTGTTTGCTCCTATGAGCAGTAACAAGGACTTCTAAGTTTCCTTTTTTTTCCTATCACACTTCATTTTCTTGAATATTCAGTTGAAAACACCAAGGAGCAAGAAATGAATTTTTCTTTGTCTTAAGTACAGCCATGAGCATCTTGAGGAGAACTAAAGAGTTAAAAAAAAGAAAGAACAAAAAAGGAATAACAATAACTCATACTACAACAGCTGCATTTGAAAAACACAGTGGCATCTTACTGTAGGCAAAATTTCAAAATCCACAGCAAAGAAAACAGCCTTGAGTAAAATGGAGATGGTTTTGTTCAAGAGTAACCAGTGTTTGGGATCCCTGTACTCTTCTGTGAGCAAAAATTTATTTCCTTCTAGAAACAAGCTGTTAAAAATATCACACAAGTTACCATCACTCACCTCTCCTACCATTTCTGCCTGCATTTGTGGATTTGTCAGAAGGGCAAGGGCAACGTCCTTCGCATTTCACTGCAATTTGTTTTCCTGTGACACAGGCTTGATAGTCTAGCTTGCACTGTAAGGAGAGAGAATGACTATCATTAATACAAACATCCTTTATAGCAAAAATACTAGCTCTTTTGAAGCAATCTTTCACGAAGTGCTCAAATTTTTGCAGACATAGGTCTTAGGAAAAATTTTCTATGGTATATGCAAAATTCATAGTAAGAATTAATTAGATAAAGGTACAAAGCTTTTGTTCCCTAACCTAGCTACAGTAACAGGCTCAATTCAAGCATGGAGGAACTTGTGCTGTTAAGACTGATTTGAATACGCATACTAAATAGCAGTAGACTGCATTGGTTTTGTCTTATATGTGCACAACAAACAAGGCAACAATATTAATTATTGATTGGAAGTGGTTAACCATGAGTTATTATAGAATTGATCACTTAATTTCTACCTTCAAAATGACAGTATCGTAGCAAAAAGCAATACCAAATTAAAGGGAAAGTAGTGCCTGATGCAATTCTGCAGTGATAGTCTTCCAATATAGAGACGGATTAATGTGTGGGTCTGACCCGTATACTTACAGCTTCAATTCTGAAACCATACAAAAAGTAACTAAATGTAGCCAGGAAATAGAACTCTTGCTCCAAGAATATAAACATAACAGCTAAAGACCACAGACATGGAAAATAACATTGTTGCAAACGTTGTTGTTACTGACAAGCTGAACTTTTATTCCAAAGGAAAAGTTCTTGACATACAGATCTTTCTGCAGGATGCTTTGCCAATGTAGGATCAGGGAAAACAAACAAAACAAAACGAATTAAAAGAGACAAAAAGTTAAGTATCTACAAAGAAAAAGGGAAAGCAAGACAAAGGCAAGAAAAGGGAAAGGAGGAAGATGGCTATGGAGAACACTTCCTTGAACAATGGATGGAAGAATTCTCCTTAGTCAGGTAAGGAACATACAATTTAGAGGTGTAGGAGTCAGAAAACCAGTTCAAGTAACAAATAAAAATACTGTGTTTTCTATGTATCACAACACTTCAGAAGAATCTCACCAGAATTTGTGCTTTATATTCCCTGACTCTTCTGCTATTTGGGTATCTAATGAATTTAATGCAATTCCATAATACAATAATCAGGGTTTCTGGTAAACTCTAACGCTGAAGTTTCTGTCCCTCCTACAAATGAGCAAGGGGTGGAAGCACTGTAGCTAGGTAAGAATAAAGGAGTCTCTTAAAAGACTGCACTTGAGGTTTCCACTAGTGTGCAGATATGAGCACTGTGAATTTACAAAACATCATCAACCTTTCATGAACTCAAACTTCTAAGCCTGTCAAACCCTCGTGCAGTTCTCTACCAAGCACAAGCTGAACTGCATCACTGTACTGAAAGAACAGCTTTTTGCACCACCGCCAATACCAAGAAGACACATTAGAAGAGAAAGGAAAGACTACCTCAATTTTTGTGTACTTACTTAAAGCCATGATCATAGTTCAGTTCTGCATGTGCTATCTTTTGCCAAAAAGGTATCGCTAATGAACAATGAGGCTAAAAGAATCTTTTATTCTATCAAGAAAAGAACAACAGGTCTGCTTCAAATGAAAAATATACGAATAACACTAGTGTCTCCTAAAAGATAGAAAATTGAAGCAAAGCAAAAAGCTCTGTCTATGTTGACTACGAAACAACCTTTAGTATCCCTGCACAATTATCCTGACTGTACAGGAGATTGCTTGCATACCCCGTGATGCCTGCCATACCTCTTTCAGACAGTATATGACCTAATTCATATTTTAATACTCAAAACAATCTTCAGAGTTAGTAGAATGGATCACAGCCCAAATTTAATAAATTTCTGCTGAAAAAAGACATCTTCCTTTTTTTAAAATCTGAGACTTTTTTATTGTTCAATCTTAGTAGCTTAACAAGTCAAACCTACAAATACCTGTGCTTTACAAGCTTTAACTCCTGTTGGTGACTGAACTTAATGAGACCACCAATTAAAATAGGACACAGAAACCCATTTCAGGTTTGTTTTACTAAAAATCAGAATATAAGGAGTACAAAACACAGGATTTTTTTTCCAAGACTTCATTAAACTTTTCCTTGAGAGATTATTCTTTACACAATTTAGTGCAAACAAGTTTAGACTCCATTCCTTCTATTTTGTTTCACTCAAGTGTTGCTGAGGATATCCATAAATACTTCAAGGCTGCTCCAGCTAACCTAATGAGTTGTGAATTTAGTCCTTCTGATTTTTCTTTAAAGGTCTCTACACAATCTTATTTGCTAATAACATTGCTCTTTTAAATGCCAAGATAAGTTAATGCCTAACAGCTGCCCCATGCACCGATACCTTAGTTAGTGAATGCCTGGTCAGCACGTAACACTTCCAAATTGGTACTCCCATTCACAGGTATGCTAGAATTTTACACTGAACTTATTTTAGGGACATGGAGGCAGCAGAGAGAGACTCCTTGTCTCCAGAAACAAAGCAAAATCATGATGGCTGCATTAAGTGAGGAATGAATCAACAGACTGTTTTGACAATTTTATATCAGCAGCTAATGACACCAGGAATGTAACTCTGGTACAAATTTCATCCTTGTTTCCCCCAAAAAGCAATGCACTGGGTGGGATGTTGCAAAGGCAGCTCAGTTAAATAAAAGCAGGTCAGACGTCCCTCAACACTACTCTTAAACTGGTGGAAGAGCAAGCAACTTACCTGAAAAACTCCACAGAAAAATAAACCTGTAGCATACAGAATATGAGGACATGATAAGTAGTGTTACAAAGGAGAGGTAGTGTTTGGAACAGCAATGAAATTCATGTTTCATCAGGGAAATATCTGAATAGTTTAAACAGCAGAAAAATATATAAACTATTATGTTATGTATAGCACTAAAATAATTCAAGTTTATTTGGCTTTATTAGTGACTTTCCAATACAGGGAAAGTATATAATGAAATTATCAAGGAACTCATCTGTTGCATTTCACAATATTCCTTAATTTATATTGGTTTTATAAACTGTTAACTGCTTGTTCTACTTTCATCACAATCACTAATATGCATGAAAAAATATAATTTCACTTCTGAAGATATCTATCTTCTCACCTTCTGCTCTTGATTCCCCTTTCCTCTAAACGTATCAGTTTTCTGTCTCATTTGTATACTTGGTTCTAAGGATGCTTCACCTGTTTGAATTTTCACATGTTCTGTTTCAAACAGGAGTTTTTAACTTGATATACAGTGCTTTAAAAAAAAAAAATCATTTTAATACAAAGAATATGTACCACGCCCATATTTCTATTGGAAATTTATTTCAGGATGAAAAAGTCCTCATTTCTGTACTGTCAAGTGTCCCATGGAAAAACTGCAAATTGTTTACTTATATTCCGTCTGTTTGAAAACCTGCTCAGTCTTAAATGGACTCAACATTCTTCAACAGTAGCTCAAACCAGTTGTTTGGTGAACTAGAGACAAGTAATTAAAATCTGTGGTAAGAACATGAAAGAATATATTTAATCTTTAGACTTGACTCATGCAGCTTTACTGTTGCTACAGAAAAGATCAGAATAGTTAGATTTCTGGAACAACTACTACAGTGTATGTTATTTTGACATATATATGAGTTCTGCTTTTAGAAATACTCTTACGGAGCTGGAAAGATTAAATGACAGTAATATATTTCATTAAGCTCTGCAACGTTCCATTCCAAAGCAGCTACCTGTCAAAGGCTGTCAACCAATCTCCATGTATTGTACATATAAAGAGCCTAGTTTTCCCCAAGAAATGGAGAAACTCACCTACTTCTCCATGGCAAAAGAATGAAAAAATGAAAATACAAGGAAAAAACCCTATTATTTTTGTGTGCATTTGACAGGGCAAGGACAGGATACAATTTATTACATTCCATTCCAAACAATCCCAACTTCCCTTGCATTTGTAAACCAAGTAATACATTTCCATATCTATACATCTATATATCTATATGTCTTTACCTTTAGAAAAACATAAATCACCCTCCTGTGATCAACTGACCTAATTTTTCAAGTGTGAATGACAGTATGCAAGTCATTAATATATGGTGAGGACACTGATAAAACCTGTGACTTGGGAAAGCTTTTTAATGCCTTCAAAATTGCAGGAAGCCTCTACAGAAAGGAGCAATGTGTCAGCATGGGTATCACATGTACGAAGTAAAATCTCTATGTTAAGCAAAAAGATGTATTTATACAGTCTAGAAGTTTTCAAATAAGTTGTATTTGATATTTACATCCTTGAACACTTGAACTGGCTTAGCCAACTTACAGCCACTGAGAAATCATGAAGGACAGAAAATGTACTACTAGACTGGAAGTGAATAAAATATGAAGAAAATAAATAAGGAAGGAAAGGATGATCTCAGAAATTATAGAAAAATACAGCTTCTAAGTTTGATTTCTGGCCAAAACAAGAAAGGAGATTGACAACACTTCAGGTTTTTATTAAGCAAATCATAATAGATCTAGATTCATTCTGTGGAAGAACTTCAAGAAAACAGAGATATATTAGATTGCAAGTACCTTGATTTTACCAAGGCTTGCCATAATCTCTTACAGCCTGGTAAGCCATCCTGGGAAGTATGCTATTTGTGTGCTTGTATTGTAAGATGAATACAAAACTAGTTGAAAGTGATTATCAGAAAGTAGCAATCAATGTCTCATGTTAAAATGGAAGGCTGCACTGAGTGGACTTCTGTAAGGGTAAGTCACAACACTGGAACTAGTCTGTCTTTTCATTAATGGCTTGGAAGGTGAAATAAAAGATATCCTATTAATCATGGAAAAGGTTGGAATAACTTTCAAAGATAGGAATAATAAAAATACTCATACTATTCAAACAGTCTAAAAATATAATAAAATATAATAAATATTTTTA